GGCAGGGGTGATGATCAAAATGACAGGCACAAATGGGGGTTAATGTCTAGATTCAAGAAAAACTGACAAAGAGGTGAGGATCCCAGCAGATCATGCATCTACTAGGCGGAGTCCGGACCCGGGACCCAGGCGACGAGGCGTGCATGGCCCGAGGGGTCCTCGGACTCGCTCAGCTCAGGCGGCAGCGACTCCGACGAGAGCGTGTACAAGGTGCTGCTGCTGGGGGCGCCTGGCGTGGGCAAGAGCGCCCTGGCGCGCATCTTCGGTGGAGTGGAGGACGGACCGGAAGCAGAGGCCGCCGGTGAGGGAATGGGGTTGTTCAGGGGAGGGGCGATCCCAGGGTCAGAACTGGGGGCTAGAGACCTGGACTAAAATCTGCAAATGCCATGGGATTCCAAAGGCGCTTTCAGAATCATAGCTTGACCTACCCGTAAAAGAGTAAACCGGATAAGGGAGCTTCCTCTCCCCGCTCCTCCCCCCTCTCCCCCAGCCTTTGGTAGGGGTAGAAATGCCCAGAGTAAAAGTTTCAGCACATAGACAGGACTCCTCTGTAGGATGGGGAGGACATCCCACACTGCCAGGGCTGGCAGGAACACAACCAGAGGGAGTTTCTAGGCCCTCAGGGGATGTGGCAGTCACTATTCTGATGCATGCCACTGTGATCAGCGCCCAGGAAGCAGGAGGGCAGGGACCACTGGAGTTGATAGCTTTGGGGGCAAATCGGTGGAGGTCAGACACACCATGCCCTCCAGCCTCCACTTCCCAGTCCTGGTACTTCTGTTGCCACATAGCAGCCATCTCCAAGTGGAGGGGAGGATTAGGGGACTCTGGGGAGCATTTGGAGGGTGTGGACAAAACAGAAAACCTAACAGTGGGAGCTTTTGATAGTAACCTGGCTACTGGCCTCCTGCCTAGGGCACACGTATGATCGCTCCATCATGGTGGACGGAGAAGAGGCATCACTCATGGTCTATGACATTTGGGAGCAGGTAGGTTGCGGCTATCTTGAGACCCAGGGCAGGGGTGGAAGGGATGAGCTGGGATAGGGGCCTTTGGGGAGTAACAGGCTGTAGCAGAGGCATGAGGACTGTTGAGTACATATATGTATGTGTGTTTTTTAGGATGGGGGCCGCTGGCTGCCTGGCCACTGCATGGCCATGGGGGATGCCTACGTCATTGTGTACTCAGTGACAGATAAGGGCAGCTTTGAGAAGGCCTCAGAGCTGCGGGTCCAGCTGCGGCGTGCACGGCAGACAGATGATGTGCCCATCATCCTTGTGGGCAACAAGAGTGACCTGGTGCGCTCTCGTGAGGTCTCTGTGGATGGTGAGTAGGTAGCAGGCTGGAAGGGAAGGGAGAGCCTGGCTGGGCTGTGATACAGTCAGTCTTGGCTCAGCTCGAGTCCCTGGGGAGCATCAGGGACTAAAAATGTCTAGGAAGAAAACTCGAAGGGGGAGAACTCCTGCCCGCCTACAGGGCCCCGAAAAGCCTGAAAGGGCTGGGGCAAGAAGTCAATCAGCTAGGGGAGCTGGGACTGTCTCTTGCCCCCTTTGGCCCTAGCCTGGCTGGGGGCTGGGGATGAGTGGATGCAGGAACCAGGCCAGGAGGTCAGAGGCTGGATTCCAGGCTTGGGCCAGTCCCAGAACAGGCTTCGCCCTGGGTAGGATACTTCCCTTTCAGCCTCTTCTGTGGCTCCCAGCACTGAACTCCTTAGAGGTACCCAGCAGTGACTTGGCAATCTCCACCCCCTCCAGTCCACTGGGGCCTCATGATATAACATCAAATCATAAAGCACTACACTGTTCGACATAGTTCTCATTTTCCTATGTTGACTACGACAGTGTTTTATTTAAATATCAAATTTCAAATCATTTCAATAAATGAATCTCCTTTTGTGGGCCACTGTTTTGGGGTCCCCTTAGACACAAGTACACTCTGCCTGTTGGATGACCCAGCAGTGCCCTGGACGCTCAGTACCCAGGTTTCTGTGTTTCTGGAGGAAACAGATTCCTGAGTGGTAGCTGTCCTGGTAGCTGTCCTAGGGTTTCAGTGGGCTCCTTACTCATCCACCCTTTATTTACTGGTTTGTTCCTGTCCCCTCTCACCCCAGAGGGCCGGGCCTGTGCTGTGGTCTTTGACTGCAAGTTCATTGAGACGTCGGCGGCACTGCACCACAACGTCCAGGCACTGTTTGAGGGTGTTGTGCGCCAGATACGCCTGCGCAAGGACAGCAAAGAGGCCAATGCGCGACGGCAAGCGGGTACCCGACGGCGAGAGAGTCTTGGCAAAAAGGCGAAGCGCTTCCTGGGCCGCATCGTAGCACGCAACAGCCGCAAGATGGCGTTTCGCGCCAAGTCCAAGTCTTGCCATGACCTCTCAGTTCTCTAGGCCCAATGGGCTCTCACTGTGGTGGGTAGATGGATGGACAGGTTGGTGGGCTGGCTCAGCCAACCGCCCTAGGTGCCTCAGGGCTGGCTCAGACTTTGGGCCCCTCGGAGCTGCTGGCCGGGCATCCCCCACCTCATGGTCATGGACCGATAGACGATGCTGCCAAGGGAGGCAACCCCCAGTGGCCTGTGAGGGCTGGGCCCACAGAGATGTGTCTACAGGCCCACGTGCATCCCAAGCAGCAGCCTGAGCCCAGCTGGTGGGGCAGGTCTGTGTGTGGGGAGAGGACTCTGCCATTTCCTACGCCGGGGCATGCATGCCCTGGAGGGAGGCTGTTCAGTGTGGTGGCTATTTGTTTACATGAGATTTTTGTAATAAAACCTATTTCCTGTTATGTCAGGATTGTTTATTCTGTCTTTCCTCCCATCTGGGGGCTTCGGGAACAGACAGGGTTTCTGAAGTTGAGGAATGGGGGCTCACTGCCCTACCCTAGTATGTGGCCTTGACTATCCTAATGTTTGGACCCAGATACAGCCAACTGGGACCTAGGAGGGAGATGGGGGGTGAGCAGAGCCTGATTGGGGGGTTCAAGGAACAGGAGGAGACACAAACCCCTCCTAGCCTCTGTTATCCAGATCCTTCTTCTGCACTGGGGCCTGGCCTTGTTCAAAGGACTGAGGGTTCAATTACCCCACTGAAACTGAGGCTGACAGGGAGTATACCCTGCCCTGGGTCTCACAGCCAGGAAAGAACTTTGGGTCTGGCTCCAAAGCTGGTATTTCTTCCCTGCTCCCTGCCTAAGGGCTAGAAATCAGTTGAGGTGGGGGAGAGGGAAGACTTCAGAGGGATGGTTTGTTAATAGTGGGGTTGAGAGCCACTCTCAGGTAAACTTGACTCTAGATGGCCCCTTCTCCTTTCCACTATGAGTGACCAGGCCAGAACATTCCATGGTCAGCATTGGCTAATTTGGTTTTAGTGGCAACAGCTCCCTGGAGCCCTCCCTGCCTGGAATGAGAGGTCTTGCATTTGTGTAGGAATGTGTGCGCTTATGGCTGGACATATGCCTGTCTCCCCATCTGCCATGGCTCCTTCACCCTTAGCACAGGTGCTTGCTAGGAGTTTACCTACATGGTTTCAGGAGCGAGCATCCCCATTTGGTACTAGGTAGAAAGTGGCTAAGTGGTGGCTAACTGCAGTGGCTCACACCTGTAATCCCAGCACTTTGGGAGGCCAAGGCAAGAGAATCGCTTGAGGCCAAGAGCTCGAGACCAGCCTAGACAGCATAGCCAGACTTTGTCTCTGCAAAAAAATTTAAAAAATTATCCAGGCATGAAGTTGCATGCTATTCATCTCAGCTACTCGGGAGACTGAGGAGAGAAAATTGCTGTATCCCAGGAGTTTGAGTCTGCGGTGAGCCGTGATTGTACCACTGCACTTCAGCCTGGGCAACAGAGTGAGACCCCCAACTCAAAAAAAAGGAAAAGGTCGGGCACAGTGGCTCAGCCTGTAATCACAGTACTTTGGGAGGCCAAGGCAAGAAGATTGCCTAAGCCTGTGGGTTCGATACCAGCCTGGGCAACTTGGTGAGACCTGGCCTCTACAACAAATCACAAAAACTATCTGGACATGGTGGCATGCGTCTGTAGTTCCAGCTACTTGGAAGGCTGAGGTGGAAGGATCACCTAAGCCCAGCAGGTCGAGGCTGCTGTGGC